ACCCAGTCTCCTCAGTGCATCCACTGTCTGCAAACTCTTATGGGCCCCACAGTCTCTACTGGGGTACTTCGTCTGCTCTCAGGAAGAAAGCTGGCCTGCCTGGGGTGCTATCTCCCGTGGCAAAGCCTTTGAGGTATCACAGTGACACCTTCAATCCTCTCTACATTGGATCCAGGCTCTTTAGATGCAGAAATGAGGAGCATGACCTTCCCATGGGTATTAGTCCTGGCTTCTGGGAAGGCCCAGCTGATCAGATGACCATCTTGTCCCCTCCGTCTCATTGTTGCTCCAGTCCCCGGCCCCAAATGTGAAGAGAACTCCTCTGCTTACTACTCAAATCACTTGGTAAATTGGTGCATGCGTCCCAGTTTAGGCTCAGTGGGAATATATAACTATAAAACAATTTCTTATTCATTCAAAAAAACATATATGGAGTAACTATTATGTGGAGGGTGCTATGCTAGGAGCTGTAGTAGATACAAGGAGGAGTTAGAGGTAGCTGCTCAGGCATGAGGTTGACATGGCTCCACCTGAAATAATGGCCAATGTGGCCAGTTGCAATATTATCTTCTTTTAAAGAATCTCATCAATCCTAATATCAATCCTGCTACATTTAGAAATTTGACACTTAAAAATCTGACTTACGATAATGGAGACTATGCCAAGTAAGAAAAGCCTAAATTGCTCCCAAAGATTAATTACTAATAATGAGGTTTATTATTCACGGAGATACATAAAAATTCAAAGCAGTTTAAATAAAAAATAAAATAAAAAACTTACAAATTAAATAAATAAATAAAGAGGAAAAAAGTATTTTAAAAATTGAATACATGCCTGTCCATGAGGAGCTGTCATGTCCTGCTGCCTAAGCTACCGCCCAAGTCATTAGATACTTTTGGAAGCTGCATTAATTCTTTTAATAAGTTCTTGCCTTGAGCAGTAAATGGCTAGGACTGGAAGAACATGGCTCCCCTAATGAGCATACATTATTACTTCGTCCTGTGAAGGCATGACAAGCTAGATGACCTATGATGGAAGATGACAAGAGGTCTGCATTACTGTAGACAAAAAAATGATTCCTATCAGAACAGACACCTGACCAACTGATTGCACAGGAAAAACTGAAGTCATAACGCTGGCACGTAAAAGACAGACGCTTACTACCACAGGGAGAAGAAACATACAGAAGTAGTTCCCTATGGTGTGGGAATGTATACCAGATGGATACATTCAACATTACAAAGAAATGAAATTATCTACATCCTGGATTTCTCTTCCAGTTCTGAAGCTGTGGGGTCTGTGTCCGGATGTGGGTGTTTTAGACCATGCTGTTCAATAGAGCAGCCACCAGCCACATGAGGCACTGAGCGTTGGAAACGTGGCTAGTCCCAACTGAGATGTGCAGTAAGTGTAAAATATGTCACATTTCAGAGACTTGTTCAAAATACACAGTGTAAAATAGCTCATTGTTATTTTAAAATATTGATCACGTTGAAATCAGACTGTTTTGGGTTAAATAAAATATATTTTTAAAATAATTTGACCTTTTTTTTCATTTTTAAATGTGGCTACCGGAAATTTTTAAATTACATTTACAATTTGCATCTAATTCTATGGGATAGCACTCCTTTAAATATAAATGTATTTACTGTGTTTAGAACTAATAAACTGGAGCTGGCCATTTTGTGCTTAGATAAAATGTCCACTAATATCACCTCAACAGGGTTATTCTCATAAGCAAATGTCATGGTTCTCAGAGCTCTATGAAACAGATAAATAGGAATTTGTATTATAGATAAGGCCAGCATTCCATCATGGCACTGAATTCGAAAGAAGACCCACCATGAAGAAGCCTACAAAATCAGGCCACTTACAAACAGGTTTGCAGCCTGTTAGATGGATATGAAGGAGGTTCTTATCTTGTTTTTTTACCTTGTATTCAAACAGCCCTTAATTTAATACATTTTCACCTAAGTAGTTCTCATTAATAAGAATATGCTCTAAAACCAGGACATTATCTATACTAAAATAATGCAAAGGAGCATTCATTTTAATTCCAGGCAGGTGGGTATCAAACTTTTCTAGCCTTATGAATCGTGTGTGGAGCTTGTTAAAAATGCAAATTCTGGGTTCCCATCACCTAGAGATTTTGACGGGGGAGGTATGTATTGGGGTAGGGCCAGGCCTTTATATTTAAAATGTATCCCAGGAGATCCTGACCTAAGCAGTCCCTAGACCACATACTGACAAATACTACTCTAGGTTTCAAGCAAATATGAAAAACAAGTTCTCCTAAATTTAATTGGAAACTTAATGTTGTCTGCATGCTTACTGTTAGTGTAATTATATTTTGAAATGTATGTGGGCTCTCCTTTTTTTAACTCTCCGTTATATCCTCAATAATGGCAAGTTTAATGAAATGTTTGTGTGTTAACTTCATTTCCTGTTTCACACACAACTATATACTAAAAATCATGTCCATCTGAATGGGGTATTTTTTAAAAAGGTGTAAAGAACACTGGCATTCTAAAATAAGCTCTAATTTAAAATGAACAATGAAAGGAAAAGGGACACGTACTTATTCATACAGGTTTATATTAGTGACAACATTAGTGAAATGTATTCACCAAGGCAACAGATATATGTGTGAGAGACCGTGCTAGCACCACAGGAGAGAGAAAGGTGCTTTGGAGAGAGGACTGTCCTCAAGAGGCTGACAGTCTGGTAGAGGTAAGCCATGGCCACAAATAATAGCAGAAGGTAAGAAGCACTGCACCAGATAAAGCACACATTTCGGGGGGGATACTCAGTATGACTGCAATCAAGGCTGAATGTGGGGAAATGGGGGAAGATGAAGCCAGAGAGGTAGACGAGGGCCAGATCATGGGGGCTCTTGTTGGTTAGACTAAGGGTTTGATATTTACCCTAAGAGCTAGGGGGAGCTAGTGTTAGATTTTAAGGAAGGGGGTGACATGCATCCACTCTGTTAGTAATTACTAAACACTTGTTACATACCCAGCACTCAGAGAAATTGCTGACCAGTCATGTGAGGAGCTTTTAGACTGTCTGTGAGGCCAGGCTTCGCCCAGACCTACCCAATTAGATCCTCCAGGGCTGGTGAGCAGCACTGTGTTATTTATAAAGTCTCTCCCAGTGATTCTGATGCACAGCCAAGTCCGGCAGCCACCATTGAAGGGTGTATTTAAATACATACCTATATGAAAAACTCTTTGCCTAGGTGAGCATTTAAGCAAAGGAACCAAGCTAGTGATCAAATCACCTATGTAATAAGGAGGCAGCAATAGCAAAGCTGAGAGGTGAGGTGGGTGTCATTTGGTTGGGTTGCTTAATTCTTGAACAAGGAAGACACCCTGGAAAAAAATATTTTAGGAAGCTGTTTTGTCTGTAATGTCCAGAATAAATTCAAAGAAGAAACGGGAGGCAGAGACACCAAGAAGAGCTGGACACAGTAATCCAAGCATAGTATTTTTTGGCAGATGGCTGAGGTGACAACTGAGGGGATGGAGAAACATAAATGAAACTGAGTGACAGTGTTAGGAAACTGCCACATGGCTCAGAGTGTGTGTCACTCATGAGAAAGGGGAGAAACACAAAGGGAGAGAGAGAAGGCAATAAAGAAGGCGGGAAAGAAAGTGGATGAGATAATGATGACACGTGCATTGTAAGAAATGATAGCTGCATCTAGAAACATAAACCGCTGCTTATTCGTATAGAATACAAGGTATTCAAAATTGTACTGAAAGTTGCCATTTAGTAGATGGAAAACTGAAGCATAAAATAGCAAATATTCCAAAATGTCAAGTAAAAGTGGCAACTTATTTTGTAACTCAGACTTGAGATTTATTATTGGTATTATTCAAAATAAATGCCATACTTGCTGGGTTATTTTTAAATGATTACTATTATTATTATTTTAATAGCATACATTATTACTATTTATACATTACTAGTAATACGTTATATTACTTTTTTTTTTAATTAAAAAACTAAAACTACCTTTCTGTTCCCCTACCCCTTGTTTTGTGGAGGAGTCTCTCTTGGTGCCATGTTTTGGCCAGAAGTCAATTATGATAATGAGGGTGAAGAGGGAATAAGGACCCTTTTGCCAGGGCCTCCTGCCAGGGACAGATGCCCTGACTCGGATGTTCCCTGTGCACAAAGGATGCGCAAGCTTTAAGCGGAAAGCTTGAAAGGAAACAAGGCCACATCCGTGAGTGCAGCCTGTGCACTGCACAGCTCTGGGTGCTGTTCGCTTCTGCAGAGTTGTATTTTCAGTTTCTGGCAGATGGGAATCAAGTGTCTGAGGGTGGGGTGCCTTTTTCCCATTCTCACTAAGGCACTGTGTGGGCTAGCAGCGATGCTGAGGGAAACCCTCTTTTTTTCCTTGTTTCTCAAAACATAGTCTTGGGACTACCTACATAAGAATCCATTGAGAAGTGATTTAAAATACAGATTTCTGTGTCTCACATCAGACTACTGAGGTGGGCCTTGGAATCTGCAGTTTTAACAAACTCTCATCAGGCAATTCTCACGTTCTATTTTCAATTACTTGGCAGATGACCATATCTTCCCTCAGTCCATCATAATGGTATAGAGAAGCATATATATTTTAAACCATTTCACTATAAAACAAAAGAGACAACACACCAGTTCCTTACTGCCTTTCTGTTGTAGAATAAAAATATGGGAATAAAAATAAAGCTGTAGATGGTGAAAAGTGAGCTTACAACTTCAATATCAGAGATACAAAGAAGTGCCCCAGACTAATGTAGGAAATGCCATACTAGGTCATACGTTTGGTCTTCCCAACCCAAAATGTCCTATTTATCTCTCTCTTTGACCTCAAAGTCCACACCAGGAGTATTTTTCAAACACCCCTAACTTGCCATTATGGATCATTGATCAATGCGTACAAACTCTCATCAAGCATATTTATATTTTCAGTCTACAACCCATGAAATAATAGAGTTGTTTCTTACCTAAGGTGTACATTTTCACCGACCTTTCTGAGTCCTGAAAGGAGCTTTGTTGAGCTGTAAATGTCGCTCTCAGCAGCTGCGCTGTGGATCCGATGGACAAAGTGGTGTTGCCCCAACTTCCTGTTCCTTCCTGATTTATAGGCTGCAGTCTGGGCCCCTTTCATGATGAAGAGTCCTAATCTCTTTAGTCTGTTCTCATCATAAAAACTCCTGTCAACCTTTAGTCTTCTTAGTTATCCCAGTAGCAATATATATACTTTTAAAATCAATGTTGTCTTTTTAAAGGTTTGGTGACCTGAGATATACAGTAGTCCCCCATTATTAGCAGTTGTGCTTTCTGTGGTTTCAGTTACCTGTGGTCAACCATGGTCCAAAATATTAAATGGAAAATTCCAGAAATAAAAAATTCATAAGTTTAAAATTTTGTGCCTTTCTGAGTAACATGATGAATCTCTCACATACCTCTCCGCCCCCCTCAAGATGTGACTCATTTCTCTGTCCGGCATATCTACACTGTGCACGCGCCCCTCTCATCGCTCACTCAGTAGGCATCTGGGTTATCAGGTCGGCTGTTGCAGTATCATCGCAGGGCATGTGTTCAAGTTACTCTTATTTTACTTAATAATGGCCCAAAATGCAAGAGTAGTCATGCTGGGAATTTACATACACCACAGAAAAGCCATCAGGTGCTTATTACACATTGTCAGAAGGTCAGTAGGAGCCCAACGCTATGACACAGAGCCTATGTCACTCACCTCCCTTCACACCACACAGGCATGTTAACATCTCGCACCATCACAACAAGGGTGAGTACAGGACAAGGTATTTTGAGAGAGATCACAGTCACATAACTTTTATTATAATCATTCCATTTTATGATTAGTTATTATTGTTAACCTCTTACTGTGCCTAATTTATAAATTAAACTTTGTCATAGGTATGTATGTATAGAAAAAACAGTATATATTTGGCTTGGTACTATGCACAGTTTCAGGCATCCAATGTCTTGGAACATATTCCCCGTGGACTAGGGTGGACTACTGTACACAGTTGTCTGTATGTATACATACACACAAAAGTTTTCTCACAAGCATAAGATCATGCATGTGTTGCTTCTAATACCATTTCTCATCATGGCATCATTTTCTTGATCTTTTGATCTTTTGGGCTATGATTTGCAACCTCAAAAAAAAAATCCCAGATATTGAAATATCATACATTGAAGTTTGATAAAAATGGATAATTGCCCAGGTAGAAGAGCCGAGATGAATTGAATAGTATTAGCCAGCTGTTTTAGCCTGAGCAACATCACCTTCCATCTTACCTAAACTCACCCTCAGCTGCTTGGCTTGCATCCAAGTCCACAGTTTGGCCCAGATCGTCCAAGGCAGGAAACGGCACTGCAGGGACCTGGCGAAAGGGAAGTGTCTAACAAAGCATCATCTGGACAGTGATGATTCTGCTTCTTCCATATGCCTCATGATTACTTAAAAGATTCAGTCCTGACCTCCATCAGCATTCTTCTGGGCATGTGGCTACTGATAAGTCCTGCTTGGGGAGGGAAAGATGGCCTAAAGAACAGCAGAGTCCACAGCCAGGGGTGTTCAAGCCTTGCTTTACAGGGAGGTGCAGACTTAGGTGCAGCTTACGTTGAAGGTCACTGTGTGTCTTGCGGTACCCGTGCCAAGCCAGCTGAGAAGGCAGCAGTGGCACCCTGTAATCCCGCAGCAGGGTGCCTGACCCTCTTCCCTCCCACCTTTGCTCACGCACTGTTCTCATCTGAGATATCGGTTCTTCTGACTGGCTTCTCTTTGCATAAACCCCTGATTCTTTCCTTGGTTTCCCCCTTTCAACCCCACACTCCCAATCGGGTAGAATTTAGGAGGCCTTCTTACAGTAATACCCACCCAGGACCCCAGTGCTCTGCCCAGGCTGCCTGCTGCCAAATCGCAAACAAAGCCTCAAGTAGACAACACAATATCCTCACCCACTAAGCAGGCCCCATTTCTTCTGAGTTTATTTGCTCCGGTATGATACTTGGATGCTGTCTATGAACCAGGAAGTGGGGTCTCACTAGACACTGACCCTGCTGGTGTCTTGATCTTGGACTTGCCAGCCTACAGAACTGTGAGAAATAAATGTCTGTAGTTTATAAGCCACTCAATCTCTGGTACTATTGCTATAGCAGTCCGAACAGACTAAGACAGAGGCTCAAAGCAGATCATTCAGAAAATGAATCTAATGAGAAAGGAAGGATGGAATCAGAAGCTAGGAGATCCAACAGGAGGGGAAAGCGCTGAGGCAGTGAATTAAGCTAATGGCAGTGGGAATGAGGAGCCACTTTATCACCTCGCACCTGTCACAATGGCCGCCATCAAACAACAAATCATCAAACAACAAGTGCTGGCGAGGGTGTGGAGAAAAGGGGACTCTAGTACACTGCTGGTGGGAATGCAGACTGGTGCAGCCACTATGGAAAACAACATGGTGTTACCTCAAAAAGTTAAAAATTGAATTGCCATTTGACCCAGTGATCCCACTTCTAGGAATATACCCTAAGAAGCCTGAAACACCAATCAGAAAGAATATATGTACCCCCATGTTCATAACAGCACTATTTACAATAGCTAAGATCTGGAAACAGTCCAAGTGTCCATCAGTAGATGAGTGGATTAAAAAGCTGTGGTACATGTACACAATGGAATATTATGCAGCTGTAAGAAAGAAAGATCTCTTATCCTTTGAGATGGCATGGAAGGACCTGGAGAGTATTATGCTAAGTGAAACAAGCCAAGCAGAGAAAGACAAATACCACATGATCTCACTTATTTGTGGAATATAATGAACTAAACAAACTGCTTAACAAAATTAACCCAGAGACATAGAGGTGGGGTACAGACTGGCAAGCCTCAGAGGAGGGGATTTGGGGGGAAAGAGATAAACCACAGAACTTATATGCATGCATGCATGACCAATGAACATATACAACAAAGCTGGGTATGGGGCAGGAGGAAAGGGGAGGAGGGTGTCAATGGGGGGAAATGAGAAACATCTATAACAAAAACAAATTAATAAAACTAAAATATAAAAAAGACGCTAGGGGTAAGTCCCCATGCCACATCAGCAGCACCTTTCTGGTCAGTCCTCAGCCCTCTCCCAGCCTCAGTTTGCAATCAGCCTTACACTCTGTATTCTCACTTTCTCCTGATGTCTTCGGCACCAATCCCTTGCCTCGTTGTCTTTGTACAAGTCTCCCACACAGTTTGGATTTGACCCTGACACTACCAGTCTGGTTCTGAACTCTGACCCTCTCCATCACTGCAGTTCACATTGGTCCCCTTGCCTCACCCACCTGAGCGTGTTCTCCAGAACCCCAGCCCAAGCTCAGGCTGCTGAGACCAGCATTCTCTCTAGGTTTGTGCTCGTTTCAGAACCAGAGCTCAGTTGCCTGACAGATTGGCCAGACATGAGCGATAACACATTAGGAGGGACAATATGGTCCTGGAGTTTAGGACTGGCTGGATTGTATTTCTCTGTATGAAGGTGGAACGGTGAGGAAAAGCCACTAATATGGGAGGTAAGGTGAGGCAATCACTTTTCACACACAAATTAGAGGAGACAATGGGACATCCCAAGAAAATGCCTGATGTGTAGCAACTAAAGAGAGGTCAGGAGCAGGGTCATGGCATACAGACACAGGCTGTGCACTGTGAATACCTGAGGAGAGGTATTCACATGGACCAGGAGGTGAGAGCGCCCCCAGCACTTGTACAAAGCTACAATCTTGGGCAGGGCAGGGAACTACCACATGGAGGAAACGGTTGAAGCCAGGACGTAAGACTAAGGGCAGAGAGCAAGCTGGCGGAGGAGCACAGGGCTAGGATTACACTAGAGGAAAATGTAGGGGGCAAAAGAGAATTTCCATATCAAAGCCATAGAGGAACTAAGTAGTATCATAAGTAGGATTTCAAGGAGGACATAGTCGTCTCAAATGCCACAGAAAGGTCACAGGAGAGAGGACCTGGAAAGGAATTTAAGATGAAGTATAATGTGATGCAAAGAAGATGAATTTGGATGTGAGGAATCAGGCCCCAGTCTTGGCATGGCCACACCTTGGGCAAGGCTCCCTCCTTGGATCAGTGAAAACCTTTCTTGTCTCTGGGTTGTTACAGATTTTTAAAAAAATCATCTTTCACTGAATGTTTCTATATGCCAGGCCCTGCTATAAACACTGTGTATATTAATACATTTATTCCTCACTACCATTTTATTGTAGGTTTCCCATTTCATAAGCAAAGAAGGGCGCATAGAGAGCATTGAAATAAAGCCTGCGGTGATGCAGCCAGGAACGGGCAGGGCCGGAATCTGTAACAAGGCGTGGTTCTGCCTGGCGAGGACCTTCTGCTCTGTCATTTTAATATAGACCATCTAGAAGGTTGCTAGTGAACTTCCAGGATGAGTCTCAGCTAGAGGTGAGAGACAGAAAAAACCACGATAATGAAAGAAAGGCAGTGTGATGGTAAAGGGAAGAGAAAAAGGATTGTGAGCATTAAAAACAACAGGCTCAAGTAATGATTGTTCAAGATAGATGAGACCCCTGTAAAGTGTGGCTTGAGGGGAAGGAGCCAATGAAGAGGAAGAGATTGAGGATCCTGGAGACGGAAGGAAATTGACAGAGCAGGACTGTAGAGATAACGAGTTAGCCTTGAAAAGGGAGAACACCCAAGACGGCATAGAGACAGACATTTAGAGGCAGAGAGTGGGTAAGATGGGAAAATTCATGTTTGAGGTCCTTGCCTTTAAGAAATAAGTATTAGGGGGAATCAGTGGGGGGAAAAGGAGAAACATCTGTAACAAAAATAAATTAATTAATTTTTTTAAAAAAAGAAAGAAGTATTAACAGGGAAATCAGCTCAAAGTAGACATAGGGTCCACTGGAAATTTTTCACATTTTTATTATATTATAGAAGCAAAATGTACTCATAGAAAATTTGGGGAAATTGCAGAAAAGTGGAAGGAAACATCACCTAAGTCCTAGGAAACAAAGAAACACTAGAGTGTATTACCTTCCAGACAATTAGGTGTTTTTATTTTCCTCCACATATTAATATTTACAATTCTAGTTATTTCGCTTTCATAACACTCATACTTAAAATTCATTTAATATCCTACTAAGGGGATGTGCTATAATATCCTTAACCATTTCCCACATGTGAACCGCTTCCAATTTTTTACTATTTCATAAATAAAGCTGAACTGAACATCTTTGATCATAAAATTTATTCTATATTTAGAATCACTTTCAAAAGACAGAGCCTAAATGTATAACTCCTAAGTCAACGACTTAGTATAATTGCAAACATCTTTAAGGCTTTTGACACTTCTAACACCATTTACATTATATCAGCAATGGATGGGAATACAATTTTCCCAAACCCTTGCCAAAATTAATTGTG